AAAAAAAAAAAAAAAAAAAGTCGCATTAGAAAGGGATCTGGAAGCTGCTTTATACCTAGGGAACTATTCCAAAGGAATATGGAGGTTAGAAAGGTTGACAGTAACTATTGTCGAACTTCTTTTTTTTTTTGAGTCAGAGTCTCACTCTGTCGCCCAGGCTGGAGTGCAGTGGCATGCTCACCGCCACCGCAGCCTCGACCTGCTGGGCTCCGGCGATCCTTCCGCCTCAGCCTTCCAAATAGCTGGAAAACAGGCATGCACTACCCTACCCGGCTTATTTATTTATTTAATTGTAGAGACGATGTTTCACCAAATTGCCCAGGCTGGTCTCAAGCTCCGGAGTCTCGGCCTCCCAAAGTGCTGGGATTACAGGTTTGAGCCACTGTACTTGGCTATTTTCAAAATTTTTAACTGGCTCATCTGTACCATCACCTGCCAATTTGTAGGTTTCCCGAAGGTTTTCCTCTCATGTTTTTCTGCACCTTCTCTTGATCATTTATGAATACAGAGTACTGTTAAATTATTTTTACATTCAAATAAATTATGCATTTAGATATGCATAAAATGGGCAGTCATCCCATAATTTCATTTACCGAAGATTGACACAAAATTTCACATCCCATTTATCTCGTTTTAGACTTAAATAAATAAATTATCACATACAATGTGACTTGAAAAAAAACCTTATATGAGACTGTACTTTTGCTATCTTTTTAACAATTGAATGTTCCATTTTATGTACCATGATATATTTAACCAGTCTCATGCTGATGGACATCTAGGTTAATTTGTGATCATAAGTAGCACTGAAGAAAATGAATTCTTATATGTATATATTTGCACACTTGTCAAGATTATTTCTTGAGGATAAATTCTTAGAAATGAGTTTCTGGGCTTAAAGATATATATTTTATCTTTTGGTGCATTTTAGCTTCTGGTACATACTGTCAGACTGCCTTATAGATAGGTCATAGCCACGTATGCTTGGCCAACAGTGTGGCACACCTCCATACTCTTTGCCAATCTGGTGATGAAATATATCTCCTTGTTTTAATTTCCTTGCATTTTAGCGAATATAGGTCTCTTACTCGCTATGTCAATGTTGTCTTCTAGAACGTTAATGCCTTCCTTATTGGTTTAGTGTTTTAATGTTATATTTGTCTATAGTTTGTGTCACTGATACTTTTATATTTGCTTATGTTTATATTATATACTTAACCATCATTTATTCTTGTGAAATTGTTCTAAATTTGTTTGCTTATTTTATCTTTGCCTGTAGACGTTTATTTATTTATTTATTTATTTAGCCAAGAGCCCTGATAACAAATATTCTAAGGAAGTAATATCTCTCAGTTTTATGCTTTATCATTTTTGGACTTGAGATAGTATGCTAAGAAATGTCTTCTCTACAACAAGGGTAAAATATAAAAATAATCTATCAGATATTAATATTATACTTTTCCCAATTAAGTTTTTGATTCAGTTAGAATTTACTTTAGTATATTATAGATGGTAGACATTTTAACTTTATTTTCAGCGTCAGGCATGGTGGCTCACACCTGTAATCCTAGCACTCTGGGTGGCTGAGGTGGGAGGATTGCTTGAGCCCAGGAGTTCAAGACCAGTTTGGGTAACATAGTGAGACCTCATCTCTACAAAAAATGAAAAATTAGCAGGGCACGGCAGCATATCCCTGTAGTCCCAGCTACTTGGGAGGCTGAGGCAGAAGGCTCCCGGAGCCTGGGAGGTTGAGTCTGTGATGAGCTGTGATTGTGCCGTGGCATTCCAGCCTGGACAGCAGAGTGAGACCCCCTACCCAAAGAAAAAAAATTATTGGTCAGTTACGTTGGCTCAAATTTGTAATCCCAGCACTTTGGGGGGCCAAGGTGAGGGGATTGCCTGAGCCCATGGGTTCGAGAACAGCCTGGGCAACTTGGCGAGCCCTCATCTCTACAATAAATAAAAAATCAGCCGGGTGTGGTAGCGTGTGCCTGTAGTTCCGGCTACTAGGAAGGCTGAGGCGGAAGGATCGCTGGAGCCCAGCGGGTTGTTGCTGGGGTGGCCACTGCACTCCAGTCTGGGTGACAGAGTGAGACTCCAACTCAAAAAGAACAAAAAAATTTTCCAAATAGCCTATGATTCCATCATTTCCCCACAGGCTTTTAATTATATTAAATATTAAATTTCCATAATACAAGAATCAGTTTCCAGGCTTATCTTTCTCTATCCCAGTCTGAATTCAGGCTTTTATTCAAGGAACGCTTTCAGTGGTGAATGGTGAATGATATTTTAAAACTAAAATCTGGGTTCCAGGTGTGCTCAAGGCTACTAGTGTGTCATTGCTTCTGGGCCCTCTGGACAGACAGGTGTGTGTGTGTGTGTGTGTGTGTGTGTGTGTGTGTGTGTGTGTGTGTGTAATATACATTTATATGAACACACACATCTTTCCCTGTTTTAATCTGTCTATGTCAGGTTGGCAAACTGTAGCCCAAGGACCGAATCTTGTTCACCACCTATTTTTATAAATGAAATTTTACAGGAACATTTGTTCACAATGTCAAAATATTTACTGTCTAGCCCTTTATGTAAAAAGTTTGCCAACCCCTGGTATATATTAGAAACCATATGTTTGTACTAGTCAGCTCAGTTCCAGTAATACCCACCATATTTGTAGCTCCCTTCTCTCACATTAAAAATCCTGTTATCCTCAATATATTTATTTATAGAGTCTACTTTTGTGTAAATCATTCTTCAACCCCATCAGCCAAATCCCTTCTGCCCTGATGGGGCCGGGAGGCTTTAAGTTCTGATTATCCAGGAGGACAAATCGTCTGTAGTATTTTAAAAATCTTTTTCAAAGAGTATGTTTATATTTGATGTAAATATACTAGTGCTTATTCCTCTAGAGTATACATAATACGTAAATTTGCCTGAAGTTTCTCTAGGAATGGTATTCAGTTTGTATTGGAGTTCTTTTATCTCTTACGACTGAAACTCAGACTTCAAAACTGTGGGAATTGTAATCCCTGGTATGCAAATAAATGAATGTCCCATTTTTCCCTTTGCTGCATTTCCAAGCACGGTAACAGTAGCAGCCAAGAACAATTTTCCATACTTGGCAGACCCCTAGAACCTGGGAATTTGTAAGCTTTCCCTTCTTTCATAAAGCAGTTATAGCTCAGTGTCTAGAATGAATACAAAGTCTGCGTAGGCTTTTAAATATGACACGTAAAGGATAGACAATGAAGAATTTACTCTTCCTCCGCATTCTCTGCCGAAAAAGCAGTTTTAGAAGGAATCCGAGTCACTGGAAGCAGTCCCAAATGTAGATTGTGTATTGGATCTACAGGTTGTGATTTCTTTTTAACCTGTTTGCTTGCAGGACGCCATGGCTTTTAACAAGTTTAACGTTCTCCACTGGCACCTCGTTGATGACCAGTCCTTCCCGTTTCAGAGCACCTCTTTTCCTGAGCTAAGCAACCAAGTGAGTAAACCAAGCTATCGTGATCTGTCTGCACAAATCTTTGGTGTAGCTTCGCTAGAAGTTTGTAGCTTAAATGTTTTCTCTTATGGGTGGAATCAAAGTGTAAAAGGTAGATGTTGTGGTTTTTAATTTTTTGCCAGGCTGTGGTTTAACATTTTAGATCATAAAACTGTTATGTTTTTGTTACTGTTAGGTTGTAAATGTTACTGTAATTGTTATTGTAAACATTATGTTATTCTAAATGTAAACACTTTCTAGGGGCAGTATAAAATAAAATTTTAAAAACTTAATGTAGAAGACCTAAATAATTCACATTATGTAGAGTTAAGATATGTTTATCAAGTAGTTTAACAGTGTACTTGTTTTAAACAGAATTGTTTGGAAATCAGTAAATGATTTTTTTTTTTGCTGTGAAAAACTATATGACAAAGGACATTTTAGAATTTCTTTCTTAGAAAATAGTGGTCATCTCAGTTGAAAGTGTTCATACGGGGTGTATTATAGTGCAGCTTGGAGGGAGCTTCAGTGTGGCCTGGTTTAACCCATTTGTCATTCAAAAAAGTCACTGCCATTCAGAACTTCCATGCCCTGTCTCAAGCTGTAGTTAGGAAGAGGCAGAGCCAGGACTCTCAATTCCGTTCTCTGGCCGTAATTCCAAAACTTACTCCAATGTTATGATGCTAGCAGGCTGAAATGCTAGCAGCACTTATGTTTTTATTTAATTTTGTTTTACTTTTTTTTTTGAATTGGGGGTCTTACTCTGTTGCCTTCCTGGGTCAGGCAATCCTTCTGCCTCAACTTCCTGAGTAGCTGGGACTATAGGCAGGCACCATCACAACTGGCTAATTGTTTAATTTTTTTGTAGAGATGAGGTTTCATTATGTTGCCCAGGCTGGTCTCGAACTCCTGGGCTCAAGCAGTCCACCTGCCTCAGACTCTCACCACACCTAGTCTGTTTTACTTTTTATTATGGAAAATTTCAGACATAAGCAGAAATAGAATAGTTTGATGAATTCCCATGTTCTATCACCTACGTTCCAAAAGTCTGTACGTGCCAGTCTTGTATCACTTATACTCCTGCAGACACCCTTACCCCATTTTAAAAAATCAAACCCCAGATATATCTCACTGTAAAAAGGTTTTTTTCTAAAAAGAAAAAAAAATATTTATTGCAGCTAAAATATTAACAAGAATCTAGATAGCCAATGTTCACATTTCCCCAAGTATCTTTCACTCTTTTATTTTTTATTATTTATTTATTTATTTATTTTTTGAGTTGGAGTCTCACTCTGTCGCCCAGACTGGAGTGCAGTGGCCGCTCCCGGCCACTGCAGCCTCGACCTGCTGGGCTCCGGCGATCCTTCCGCCTCAGCCTTCCAAGTAGCCGGAACTACAGGCACGCACTACCATGCCCGGCTAATTTTTTTTTGATTTATTGTAGAGATGAGGTCCCGTCAAGTTGCCCAGGCAGGTCTCGAACCCTCAGGCTCAGGCAATTCACTCGCCTCGGCCTCCCAAAGCGCAGGATTACAGGGTGAGCCACTGAGCCCAGCCTTAAATCTAGTCTTGATACAAACTGGATTTAGGGGATCACGGGGGCAAGACTACTTTTCAGGAGTTGATCCCGTATAGCCCAAACATTGAGAAATGTGCTAAGTAACACTTTTAACGGACCTTTATCTTTGGCTACAACCAATATTGAATCCTGATTTTTCAGGTCACCTACAAAAGGAACTGAAGTAATCTTTAACACAATCAGGTCATTCATGATAGAGTCTATGGGGAGAATTTTTAAAGCTGATAGTATGAAGGACAACAGCTGCACTGTTGAATTTTGACTTGACAATGGCAGGTTTTCACAGGTTTCGCTTTGGAGACAAACATTTTACTTCTGTTTTGTTGTATGGTGGGTTACATAGAAGTTGAAACAGCATGATAGACATTCTTGAAAGAGGAGTCCTTGAAAGAGGAGTGGAGATAGATATTTCTTTCAGTAAATCTGGGATTAACCCAAAGGATACTGAGAATTTGTTGAAAAGATGGGGTAAACAAATGATTTGACAAAAGCCCCAAAGTTGTTATCATCCTTTGGGTGTATGTAACTTAGCAGAAATTTGCTTTCTGTTTTTTTTTTAGATTTTCTACCCTGAAACTGATACTATATTATTATTATTATTATTATTATTATTATTATTATGAGTTGGAGTCTCACTCTGTCACCCAGACTGGAGTGCAGTGGCCGCTCCTGGCCACCGCAGCCTCGACCTGCTGGCTCCGGCGATCTTTCCGCCTCAGCCTTCCAAGTAGCTAGAACTACAGGCAAGCGCTACCACGCCCAGCTGATTTTTGATTTATTGTAGAGATGAAGTCTCGCCAAGCTGCCCAGGTGGGTCTCGAACCCGCGGGCTCAGGCAATCCACTCACCTCAGCCTCCCAAAGTGCGGGATTACAGGCTGAGCCATTGAGCCCGGCTACTATATTATTTTTAAGTGAGTCATCCAACATCGCATAAAACTATTTAATACAATGTAGTAGAGAAAAAAAATCAGCTATTAGATATCAAGGTACAAACGGATTGTTAACAATTTCCAGGACCAGATCCACTTTGGGCATTTTTGTGTTAATACATGTGGCTTTTCCAGGGAAGCTATTCTTTGTCTCACGTGTATACACCAAAGGATGTTCATCTGGTGATTGAGTATGCCAGACTACGAGGGATCCGCATTCTGCCAGAATTCGATACCCCTGGACACACGCAGTCTTGGGGAAAAGGTGAGAAATCTGTGTTTTGTAAGTTGCAAAGAATGAACATTGGAGGTCCTGCAGCTCTCATTTTATGACTTGGTATTTGCTTATTTTTTCTGTGTGATTTGCACAACAGTAGCACTGTTGACAGATATGATTCAGTAACTATTACATGTATCTTACCAAAACCTCTGGGATACCAGGAAATCAGTTCTCAGAGGGGAATTTATATCTCTACAAGCACACATCAAGAAAATGAAAAGAGCACAAGTGGAAAGCCTAACAAATCACCTAAGGGAGCGGGAAAGAGAAGACTCTCAAAACCCCAACTTTAGCAGAAAAATCCAAATCACAAAAATAAGAGCCCAAATATGGAACATAGAAGACAAAAATATCATAGAAAACATCAACAAAACTATTACATGTCTACTGTGAGCAAGTCATTGTGTCTAGGAAACTGCCCAAAGTATAAAAAAGGGATAAAGGAAATAATAAAAAATGATTACAACAAGTAGAACATGACCAGTGAATTCAAATGGTTTCATGGATGTGGTGACAAAGTGTTTTTGAGTGATCAAGGAATATATTCACTTTTCATATAGAGGAACTAGCATGAGGAAAGGCATGCAAAAAGTGGAAGACAGGCTTGACAAGGAGTAGCTAGAGCATAGGAAGAGGTGGAAGCATAACAGGGCGGTGGTTAAGAACTGAAGCTCTAGGCTGGGTGCAGTGGCTCATATCTGTGCCGTAGCACTTTGGGAGGCCAAAGAGGGAGCATTGCCTGAGCCCAGGGATTCAGGAACATGGCGAGACCTCAACTCTACAATAAATCGAAAAATTAGTTGGGCATGATAGTACACGCCTGTAGTTCCAGCTTCTTGGAAGGCTGAGGTGGAATGATCACCTGAGCCCAGGAGATTGAGGCTGCGGTGAGCCATGATCATGCCACTGCACTCCAACCTGGGCGAGAGTGAGACCCCAACTCAAAAAGAAACACAGGAAGAACTGAGGCTCTGCAGCCCATTATAAACTGCCATTATAAACTGGGTGAACTTGGACAAGTTATATCACATTTGACCTCGAGTTTCCCCATCTCTAAGATGGGGCTGCTAACGGTAGCTATCATCTAATGTTTTTGAGGACTACATCATGAACATAAAGCACACGGTTCAGGCCAGGTACGTTGGCTTAAGCCTGTAATCCCAGCACTTTGGGAGGCCTAGGTGAGGGGATTGCCTGAGCCCTTGGGTTTAAGAACAGTCTAGGCAACTTGGCAAGACCTCGTCTCTACAGTAAATCAAAAAATTAGCCAGGCATGGTAATGTGCACCTGTAGTTCCGGTCACTTTGGAAGGCTGAGGCAGAAGGATCACCTGAACCCAGCAGGTCGATGCTGGAGTGGCTGTGAGTGTGCCACTGCTCTCCAGCCTGGGCGACGAAGTGAGACTCCAACTCAAGAAGAAAGAAAAAAGAACAAAAAAAGCACACAGCACAGCACCTAGCATTTATAATTGCTCAGTAAATATGGTTAGGGTAGACGTGGACAGTGAGAAGAAAGTGCATGGCTTGTAAAGGGCCTTGGGTGAGAATGTGGACTTCATTGGGAAACACTGGAAACCAGTGCAAGGTTCACAGCCGGGGAGTAACATGATGGGAGCCACACTTTGGGAAACCCTTTGTGGGAGGGATAGATGAGCGTCCTTTAGGGTGACATCAGAATGGCGTTCGCTATCAGGGTGACAGCGGGAAGGGAACGTCGTAGGCGGAACTGAGAAGCATCTGGAAATAGCCATAGAACTTGGCAACCGATTGACTGCAGGAGGAGGCGGAGGCATAGACTATAGGAGGTGGGCGGTACCCGTACTACATAATATGAATTCAGAAGCCAGAGAAGGAAAGGAGCTTAGGCGGTGGCGATTTTGGTTTTGGCTACATCATATCTGAAAGGCAGCCAGGGTTTCCAGTTGTATTCCACGGGAATTGGAAATACAGATTGAAGCGCAAGGAAAAGGATCGCGGTATTGTGAAGACTGGAGAGTCATGAATACTTGAAGCGGACAAAGTCTTAGATAGCAAGGGCAACGAAGAAGTAAAGAGACAGGGCTCAGGAGACAGTTCTTCTATTTGAAAGGAATTAACATGCTCATCTTGTGTGTGTAAAATCTCTCATAGCGTCAACAGAATAATGTGATCATGTGCAGACAGGTCTTCGAGTGCACTTCTTTTCAAAGGAATCTTCGTGTTTCTTACAGGTCAGAAAGACCTCCTGACTCCATGTTACTATAGACAAAGCCAGCTGGACACTTTTGGACCCATAAATCCTACTGTGAACACAACTTATAGTTTCCTTACTACGTTTTTCAAAGAAATTAGTAGGGTGTTTCCAGATCGTTTCATTCATTTGGGAGGAGATGAAGTGGAATTTAAATGTTGGTAAGACAGTTCTTTAAAATGCTTATTGGAAAACAAAAACAGAACTGTTGTATTGGAAGTAGATGTAGAGCACCCCACGTGAAAAGAGAGGATCTGGGGTAACACCTCTGCTTGTAAAGGTTTAAACTGGGCAACACAACTCCTGAGATGGTGAATTCTTTTTTATAGAACGCACATTTTGGTGGTATAACCAAGTAAAAGCTTAGGAAGGAGAATCAAGATGCAGAGGAAAACGGAAATTTTAAAAAGAGGAATGCCTTTACTAAAAGAGGAACCCCTAGAGTGAGATAGGGCAGTGATTCAATGGGGAAGAGGATGTGGGGGTTGGGGGAGGGGGTAAAGAAAGCTATTTTTACAGAAAATAAGTTCCTGGGAAAAACTATTTCCAATGGAAAATTCAGATAACCCATCATTAAATTTCCAGGTTTCTTGGGCTCCCTACAAATGTTAAGTTTTTAGTCTGCACAACGGATGTTTGGGAAAGGTGCTGCTTTCAATGATAGATTGTGCATATCAAACTTTCAATGAAATTATTAATCACTGTTTTTGTTTAAGGGAGTCAAATCCAAAAATCCAAGATTTCATGAAGCAGAAAGGCTTCGGCGAAGATTTTAGAAAACTAGAATCTTACTATATTCGAAAGTAAGTTACTTGGCAGTCTACTGCTGTATTTCATCCATGCTTTTTGTAAAAGTTTAAGCTGTTATTTGGTACTGTGCTTTATTTTTTATTTTCTCTCCACCCCTTGCTAAAAGTGTAGATGTGAAAAATCACTAAAGAAAGAAACAATACCCACTGCTTTCTTAGGACTCCTAAGAGTCACATGGTACCTCCTAAATATTTGCAATAGCTGTTGAAATCTAGGAATGCAGTCATCTGTTCTGAAAACTCAGAGCCCTGGCTACCCTGCGAAGTCTTTATGACCCTCCAGTTCCTGGCATTCATTTCCAAGAACATTTGTTGTTTCCAAGAGCATTTCTTTCATTCTGTTCCTGTACTGTCCAACTCAGAAGCCATCGTCACGCATGGCTGTTTGTATTTAATTAAAGTTAAAGCTTCAGTTCCTCAGTTGCATTAGCCACATGTCAGGTGTTCAGTAGCCAGGTGAAGCTGGTGGCTACCATGTTGTTGGGTGCATACATACATTTCCATAGTGCAGAAAATTCTGCTGGACAGTGCTGCTGCATACTAGGGAAACTTTTGCTGTGAAGGTGAGAGTAAATATTTTAGGCTTCATGGGCCACGTAGGTTGCACATCCTTCTATTGTTAAACAATGCTTTACAAATATAAACACAATTCTTAGCTCATGAGCCATGCAAAAACAGGCTTCAGACTGTAGTTTGCCAATCCTTAACTCTACCGCTCACTTTGGCAAGCCCAGATGCCAGCCTTTTTCTGTTGTTTTTTTGTGGTGCATTCTAACTGTGTCTACCTCCAGAGTACCTGGCATCTTCTAGATACCTGTAAACATTTTTGAACCAATTGTCAGCACCTGCTAAATGTTATTTAGGTGATGTGACAGGCTAGGTTATGGTACCCATTATTCTAAGATGGCCATGAAATGATTAGAAATTGCTGTTGGTACAATTTCCTATGAGTTGCCTACCATCTCAACTTGAGGTTGCTTCTTCCCATCTTAGGGGCATGCTTAGCTCATTCCCTCAGCAAGTAACTGTTAAGCCCCCAGACTCTGTTAGGTTCTGAGCCATGTGCTAGGAATATAGAACTACTTGGGTCACCCAACTTTAGCTAGTTCTGCTATAAAGCTGTGTTTTACTGAATGGCACCTCTCAACATTGCAAGGGATCGTGGGTAGGAAAGGTACATGATTTAAACATATTGTTAAGCTTGTGATCTTAAATAACCAATTTTTTGCAATGCTAGGGTTTTGGATATCATTGCTGCCATAAACAAGGGATCCATTGTCTGGCAGGAGGTTTTTGATGATAAAGTAAAGGTGAGGATTGTTAAGACTGCACCTGATTCTGATAAACAAGACTTAACACTTTCTCCTTCTCATCTCTCCCCTCTACCTTCCTCCTTTGCCATCTCATTGTGAACCACAAGGGTAGTACTTTAAGTTCCTTTTTGTCAGAAGGGCTGAACAAACAGTTAAGAACAAATAAGTCTTTCTTGCTATTAAGATAGTTTTGTTGTAAGTGAAATCATCAGCATATGCGTCTTAAAAATATTTTCTCTCTGATATAGTAAGAATTCTTTACTTTCTTTGGGGCAACTGGGAAGTGACAAGTCCACTTACTAGCATAACCGCTCCAGAGGGGTTGGGAACATCCTCATAGTTTCAAAGCAAGCAAAACATTCGTGTGGTAGAAATGCAAGTCTCAGCCTTAGTTCACTGAACTTACATGGTTTCACCTATGAGCAAGAGTTAAATATCCAACTTGAAGGCCGGTGAAGCCTCAAGTCCCTACATAGGGACTTGAGGCATATGGCATTAGCTCTGAGGGAAAGGGAGCATAAGAACATGTATATATGCTTAAAGGATCTTAGACAATCACGTTCCTAGCTACACTGCCTGAAACCTTCAATTGCATCCACTGCGTTCACTAGACCTAATAATCCGTATCGCCATTTGTCACTTGAACAGCTTCAGCCGGGCACAATAGTTGAAGTGTGGAAAGGAAACGGGCATTTTGAGGAACTCCGTCAGGTCACAGCATCCGGCTTCCCTGCCATCCTTGCTGCTCCTTGGTACTTAGATGGGATTACCTATGGGCAAGACTGGAAAGACTACTACCAGGTGGAACCGCTGAGCTTTTCTGGTGAGCGAAGCAGCCTTCACTATCTTCATTCCTCCCGTGCAGGAAGCCCCTGCACAGATGCAGCCCAGCTGCCCTTTCGTAGTGATCCTTGATCTTGTGGGTTTTTTAAAGCTCGGCTTCGTTGTAAACTCTCTGAAAGAAACCAGATACTTGCCGAATACAAGGACTTCTGAAGTGGATCCCCTCAGAGTGTATCTTCATTTTCACTCGAGTCTCGCCTCCTGCTTTCGGAATGCTGTGACTGCACAGACCTTGCAGGTCCTCTTCTGCACTGTCCCTTCCGTGTATGACACCTAAGCAGCGTTGTAGTCCAGGCCCATGAGTGCCGGGCTGTGTAGTCTTGGGGCTCTGAGGAGTCAGCATCCTTGGGGGAAGGCAGACAGAGGTGACATCCAAGCAGTGGAGCTTCAGGCTCTCAGACCTTTTCATTAAGAACAGTTCTAAGCGGGCTCAGTGGCTCAGCCTGTCATCTCAGCATTTTGGGAGGCCGAGGCGAGGGAATTGCCTGAGCCTGTGGGTTCGAGACCAGCCTGAGCAACTTGGCGAGACCTCGTCTCTACAATAACTCAAAAATTAGCCGGGCATGGTAGTGCACGCCTGTAGTTCCGGCTACTTGGAAGGCTGAGGC